TATCAAAGTCTCCACCTATGCCGTTCATGTTTGAAAAATTGGTGGGTGGATCATTATTTGCCGAATCACTTAATCCTTTACAAGCCGTAAATGAATGATATTCATCTATTCCTACCACATCTTCCAATTGTTGGTCACAATAGTCATAGAAATTTGGATTATTTTTGATGTAAGAGATGGTGAGAACGTCTGGCGTTTGAAAAATAACCGCGTTCCCCGATAATGCACCTTGAAACAAGGTAATCAAAATGATGAAAACTTTAAGCATGACTGCTTTTGATGATTAAAATTAATACTGTATAACTGCCTGATATGCAAAGTTCTAAGAGTAAAAAAAACTTAATATAATAATTTGTTGGTTTATTTCCAATTTTATGAATTCGTTTGAAAAGAACGAGTGTTATACGTATTTGTTCGGAAATCCACTCTCAAGTATTTAATAGAAAATATGTGTGCAAGAAAACATAATCTAGATATTCCTCTTACAACAAACCACGTAAAAAAATAATTTAAATTTATACAAGGTGATAAGTTACATGAATAAATATATGTTACTATGTTGGTTGGTACCATAAACTATTCTTTCTAGAAAAAAATAATTCAAAGAAATATAAACAAAAAATTCAATTTGCTTCGCGAAAAATTACCCAATTATTCATCACAAATTTAATTTGTGTCAGATTAAAATAATTATAATTTCGTTAATGAAACACCGAAATATCATATTTAAACTTTGTTCTGAAGAAAATTTTAAAATAATTCACTATGCATGATATAATCTGGTATCAGTTAATTTGAATAACGATAAGCAATACAGTAATACACTGATATCTGCAAACATATATGCTTTATTTTAACACAACGGGTACGTATGGCACAAGTTCGATCACGATTTTTTTAGACCGAATATTCGAAATCCAATGAACATTTGTATTACAAATTTAGCATAACGGATCTTATATTTCGCCTATTCTAAACAGTACTTCAACAAGTCGTAAAAAAAATTATCAGTCGATCCAGATGTCACACATGACATTTTATCATATGATTTTCATAAATTACACAAATCGACGAAATCATGT